TTAAACATACTTGGAACATTTCTACAGTGTTGCAATATGAGATCCACAGCTACTCAATATATGCTCCTGGAGAAACCAATTCTTGTCTTCTGGATGGGCTCTTGATACACATTTACAGAAACTGAATGGCTTGACTGAACCATGGTACTAGCTACCACTGCGAATGGCAGCAGTTTCCATAGTGTGCCCTACTTTTCATTTGGAAGAGAGCAATCATTTATTTTAAGCTCCTCCTATGTACTGCTGCATTAACAAGAAGTGATAACGAGTGGTATGTGAGAAGCATCATCTGTTTTTCTTTTGTCAGGCAAATCTGTTTTATTTTATGGTCACACAAAACATTGAAGAGGCACCAAAACATTATTTTCCACTGTAGGATGTACAAGAGATAAGGCTAAAAGTTGAAATAATTCAGCTGAGATACCAGCTGAATCAACTGTCTGTCATATAAGTGGGAGTTTAGTCTCATGGATTGCTCTTCCTTTCAATGTCCTGCCACATGCTAAGTGGTGTTCTTTGCTCTGCTCATTATTTTTTATGGTCTAAGCAGTGGCAGCCAAGGAGAGTGCTAGAAAACAGTCCTTTCAAAATGTGATGCAAGAATCACAGAATGGGTAGGGTTGGAAAGGACCACAGTGGGTCATCTGGTCCAACCTCCTTGCTCAAACAGGGTCATCCCAGAGCACATTGTGCAGGATTGCACCCAGACAGTTCTTGAATATCCCTAATGAGGGAGACTCCACAACCTCTGCACAGTAAAGAAGTTCTTCCTCATATTCAGGTGGAACCTCCTCTGCATTAGTTTCTGCCTGTTACCTCTTGTCCTATTGCTTGGCACCACTTAGAACAGTCTGGCTCTGTCCTCTTGACACCGTCGCTGCAGATACCTACAGGCATCAGTGAGGTCCCCTCTCAGTTGTCTTCTCTCAATTATTTTGTATATTTGATTGCTGTATGAAATGTACATGTAATATCCTATAGGTATCATCATTCAAGATACATTATTGTGTGTAACAAAATGGGAGTCTGAATGGTGTGCAACTAGTGGATTGTTGTTTTCTCCATCTTAAAAATTGATTCATGATTTTCTTCTAGTGTTGAAGAACTTTGTCATTTGGCCATGAAATATGAATTTGCTGGTAAAGAAGTTAATATCTTGTGATGTAGTCACGCAAATGAGACTTTTCTATTCTTGTTTTAGAAGAGGAAACTTTTATTTTGTACTTAATTGTTTTGTTTTTTTTTTCCTTTTGTGTACCCATTTAACAAATGGGGAGGGAAAGACAGATTGGCTGTAGGGATCTTTACACAGGACAAATGTTCCCTATATATTTGTGGGGAGAAAAGGACCCCGTCTCTACAATGGATATGAGAGGTCATTGCCAAACTCTAGGTGACAATATTAATACAAGTGTGGTCCCAGATCTATGTTCATATACATTTCTCAGCAGTGTTCCATCTTCCTACCAGGACAAAATGGCATACCCTTGTCCTTTCATAAATAGAAAACAAAGTAAATAATTTTGATTGTTGAGGGAATTAGGACTGCAAATCATGCTGCCCACTGCACTTGCTCCATGTGATGCAGTCTGAGATTTCCAGGGGCATATATTTTACATAGATCATCTCAGCATTATTATTTCTGCGCTGATTTCTGATGGGATCATTAACAGTCCCAGTTTCTGCACGGTCTTTGTATAATTAAATTTTTGCCAATTTGTCTCTTTTCAGAAAGCATTATTGGGCTCTGAGGAAAGCACAGATTCTCTTAACACATCACTCTCAGTGAACATTCAAAAATTGAATCTCTGCTCTCATAGACAGAGAAGATTTGCAGAATGAATCTAGTGATGAGACCTTTCCTAGTTCCTGGCACGATCTGTTTTATTTTTTGTCTGACTACCCCAGCAACATAGCCCCCATTCTTCATAGGGCCAATAGTCTATATCTCTCTAATGTCTCATGCTTATCTTTGCTTTGGTTGTCTCCAAGTATGATTACATTCAGTATGCTTTTTCACCTATCAGCAGTTCACTGTTTTTCACACTGTTGGGTTTCTCAGCTGTGGAGATAAAATCAGCTCAATGTTCCCAAGAAATGCTCCTCTACTTACTGTGGCTTCCTAGAGCAACAATGTCAAGAGCGTATGTAGTGGAATGGCAAGGTTGTTTGGACATCTTTGTTGTGTGTGGGCCTTGGATTCAAAAGGAACACAAATTGCATTTCAGTATTTTAGGATCCACCTTTGCAGTTCAGGCAAAATGTTCTAATTTCATATCCAGAATTGTCACACGCAATCAATGATAGCTAACTAAATAACCCTTTATAAAATCACTGCTCTTGTAGAGTTCTTTAACAAACTGATGGTGAGAGTTCTGCCCCATAGTGGTTTTGGTGACCTTGATGTCCAATCTCTTTTAGATCTGCTTCCTTCCCAGGATAAAGAGAAGGCATCAATTGTGCTTCGATTTGCATGAGCATACAGGCTCTTTTGGGAGGA